AATACTTCTTGGATGAATGTGGCTTTTATTTCACCTTGAAATGACATCCTACTCCTGTTTTTAGGATGACTACCATTTCTGGATTAGGCTGATCTAATCCACATTGCACCGCGTAATGAAGTCAACACCAAAGTCACTAAAATGCAATAACAATGAGTTAAAAAGAAGCAGAATGTACAATACAGAACACTCTATGCTTTATGGTCGGCACTTACTTCCATGGCACTTCAGCATGACCCTCCTCTGACAACAGCAGTCATGACAGCAAATAAAAATGACAAAATGGAATGACTGAAATTGCAGAAATTACTGACAAAGCAAGCAATTCTGTGAAAGTGGCTGAGAAATGGTTAACAACATGAAATGAGTCTACTGAGAAAGCAGTCGAGTGAAAAATCAAGGCTTGAGAACTATACCACCTATTTCATCAACTGCAAGACCCAGACATCCTTTAAAACAAACCAGTGTAGGATCAGTCCTTGGATTTGCTGCTAAGCAGGACTTGCTTCTAAGTTCAGTTCTGCCTTATCTGTTTGTGAAAAGAACAGGAACTTTTTCAGATACTCAAGAAAAAAATTATTCAGAGATGGCCAAAACCACTGGCCATGGACAGATCCACTTTTAAAACTTGTTATTCCAACACAATACAGGTTATTTTTCTTAGAGGACTCAATTCTGCCTGGTTAAGCGTCCTCCACAACTCCACATTTCTAACGAGCATTTCCCACTAGCAGGAGTGATGCCCCCCAGGGCACATTGTGCAAACCCAGCCAGAGGAATACAAGCACCGTTTGAACTAGAAATGGTTTCTCCCTGTGGCAAAGCTACCCATCATTTTGGTACCAGTGCTGGGAGGGAGCAGCAGCAGTTGCTGTATTATTCTTTATTAACACGCAGAGCCAGGATGCTGTTTTCACTGGGGGCTGTGTTTTCTCTCCCCAGCAGCCACAGGGTCTATCCTGTGTTAATCATGCTGACATTATTCAGCGGGTCTCACAGGCTTGCACTTGATCACCACGTTGCTACGCAACTGCCGAGTTCACAGACAGAGCCAGCGCTCCTCCCTTCACCTGATAAAAACCCCGCCTTTCTCCTGTCCTCAATTCTTTTATCAGCTCCTTGTAAAAGCCAGTAGCCTCTCGAGTGAATTCATAGCACAGCTGTATTTCTAGCACCACGGTCGATACTACACGTTCTGTCCCTGTTGAGAGCAGAGCGTCACCTGCCAAGGCAGCTGTTCCCTCCCTAGGTCTTCCCAGAGCTGCACATGAGCATGTCCAAATTTGGACACAGGAATCACAACCATCAACGTTTTCTGTAAGGCAAGATGAGGAAAACTGGAGGGAGTGATGGTCAGATATTTGGACCTGACTACACAGAGACACCAGATTAAAATCTCTTATGTATGGCCATAATTTCTTAAATTTTTTAAAGTAAGTGATGGCCAAAACTGGGAGTGGAATCTCTGTTCTCAAACCTTCTGACCAAACTATGCTTTTATTAGTACAAAGTAAGCAAGTGCATCCTCGCTTCTTCCTCTTTTTCCTTCTCCTCCCAGACTCCTCTTTTCTCTCCTGTGGCTGGTCACTGCCACTGAGAAGCAGATGGTTTCCAGCCAAACGTTTCCAGGCTCTATTTAAAAATCTTGAAACTCGATGTCTCCACAAGAACCACGGAAAACTATAAATAAAACTGTGTAAAATTACTGCTAAACTCACGTGCAGAGAATAAAAGCAAGCTTTACGGTGGTTTTGATGTAATAACTGAGAAATGCTGCTCTGTACTGTAGGATGATCTCTTCCTAATCCTCATTTATCAAAAACATACAGAAAAAGATATTTTTATGAGTTTTTGTGGCAAGAACTATCTACAGTTTAATTCACCCCTGTACAACCCTAACAGGGCAATTGCTGTGAGTGAACCACAGCTGTGCATCTACTGTGCAAAAGGGATTTTTAGGGATATTTAGTATTCCACTCTGGGAATTCCACTCTATAACTTCATGTATGGGCCAATAAGCAAATATATGTTTTTAATTTCATCAGGCTGCTTGTGCTGTGAACATCACCCAAGCAAGCCTGTGAACGTTGTTCCTATTTATAACATTTCCCAATCCCTCTCCTTGGCTGAGGGATGGGAACAGGCATACTCATTTTTTTATCCTTTTTCTTTTAGCACAGCTAACAAGTTGTTCTTTAATTTAGCAGAATCCATGCTTTTCAGGAGCTAAAATTCCTTTTCTCCCTTTCCAATGCAACCTCACAGGGAAGGGCTGCAAGCTCTGCAATTGGCTGTCATAGGCTTTAACAATGATAACATAGGCTTTATAGTCTAAGAAAAAACCCCCAAGACATTCTAGGAATTTTACCTTTAAAATTTAAATATTAGCTTTCATAGTTGAAATTTTCACAAGGTGGTATTCCTTGGTCATAATATTTGACAGCTTTGTAAAAAATTGTGGCAGTTGTGCAAGTGGGCTAGAAAGGCTGTAATTTATTTAACTTTTAAAAGACAAGACAGGAGTAAAAGCAGTAAAAAAAAAAAAAAAAAAAGGCCTTTAGCAAGCATCAATGGCTTATGCTGCTCCCTCTTTCACACTCTTTATCAATCTGAGAAATCAATCCTCTCTCATCCACCCCCAGCATGAGGGGGTGGTTTTGCACAGGGAGAGGGGAAGGTCCTGCGTGGCTCCAGGGGGTGGGTTCTGAATCTACAGCTGATCTTCTGCAGTTCCATTTCTCTACCTCATTCTTGTTGAGATGAAAAGTAATTGCCTGCAGCACCTTTCCAAACATACTTTTAATATCTGTGGGTAGCTGGTTCTCCTCTGCTAGCTCCTGCACATCATTTCACTTAAAAAAGAGATTCTAAATAACCTTTTCTGATCGTTTTAGCATCTTCAGTTAACCTCACAATTAAATCACAGCAATTTAGAGAAGAGAACAAAATACAGCTCTCTTTCCTCCTGTTCCCACCAGGAATTCTGTTTTCTCCCACAGCCAAATGGCAGCCAAGAGTTTTGCTGCTCTGTGCCACTGCCAATTTATCCTATTTATTCCCTCATAGCTCTTGGCATTGTTACATCCCAGGATCCTCTCTCTGATTTGCAAAGATGTCTGTTTGGTTTCACTTTTCAGGAAAGAAGCAGGATTCAGCCATGCTGAAATAATGCTTCGGGTAGTTTTGGTTCCAAATTGAGCCTCTGTATTCCATAATGAAGACTAAAGAATTTGCCAAACCTGAGCTGGACAGAGTTACAAATTTATATTGCTTTTCTGTCCTTGAGCTTTTTGATTTTTTCCTAAGTTGGATCTTTCTCTAAAATGTAACATATGGGGCTACTCTTCCTTATGTAATAGTTTGCTTTTCTCCAATGAAGTTGTATAGTTTTTAATTTTTTTCCAGCCTTTATAATTTTTAAACATTTTTTCTCAAAAAATGTATATGTATTTGCTTCTAGTTTTCATTTTTCTCTCAGTAATAATAATACTTTGATATCTTTACAGTACATTGTAGTTGGTTGCTTCAGTTATTTTCTAATAAAATAGGGATGGTAAAGATCTCCACTGTAACCTGGAAAAACTTATCAGCTTAAAAATACAAGGTGATAAATAATATTATACATATGAAGCTAGAGGTAACATGGTCATGGGGCTTAACAAGAAACATAGAATCATAGAATCACAGGACCAGTCAGGTTGGAAAAGACCTCTGAGATCATCAAGTCCAACCCTTGATCCAACACTGCCGTGGTTACCATACTGCATGATCAATGTCTAGCAAAAATAGTATTTTTTTTCATGTATGAAGGTTTTTCCTGTACAACCAACTCAGTTTCTGCTCCAGTTAGTCAAATGCCACTGACAAGAATTCCAGAATTTCAGTGTTTTATTTCCATTCTAAAAATTGTATTACCCCCTGTCACCAGTTTGATGATTTCCACCTTGCAGGGAATAATACGAATACCTGAGGCTGAGGCTGCTGATCACGCTATTTTCTGAATGAGCAATCATTTGCAATCAAGAGAGCCACCCTTCCCTTAAAAATCAAACTATCTTCATGCATGCAAAGTACAGCAGCTTTTCAAAGGCTGAGTTATTTATTAACCAGCAGAATAATTCTAATAAAATTTTCCTTTCTGTTTGTTTTTGTTTGTTTTTTTTTGTTTGTTTGGTTGGTGTTTTTGAGGTTTTTTGTTTGTTTGTTGGTGGTTTGCTTTTTTTTTTTTTTCCTGACTGGATTTCATGAAGTTATGTCCATGTTCCACAAAATTACTTGTACATTTCACCAGTGGAGTCTGGCTCCCGTTACTTATAACTTAAGTACCTTTTGGAAACCACTTATGTATAAGTGTATCGCACTGCCCTGCCAGGGACACCTCCTTCAACCTGTGAACATCAGGGACTATTCACTAACCAGAAAAAGGCAGAACTTAAGCCCTCTAGTACTAAGTGGCAGAGATGCTAAATTAACTTTTTAGTAATAACATGGACAGCTCACAGGGATTTCAATGAGTAATTTTCTAAAATACCTTTATGCTTTATGGTAAAGTAAATTCTGAGAGGTCTCAGCATGAACCAAATGACACCACACAGTGGATGTGAAGGAACCCTAGGTAAAACCAGGTTTTACCTGTTTGAAGCCAAAACTGCTTGTGGGACTGAAGGAAAAATAAATTACCACATTATAAAAGAAAAAAAAATAAAAGAGAAAAATACTGCTTAAAAAGAAATTCAAGTGACTCACATTGGAACAACTGAAAAATTTGTGCTAACTGTTTTTGGAGTTATAGAAGACTGAGAAAAATCCTCTCCTATGGTGTGGGCTACACAAATATTGACAATGTAAGAAATTCTTGTCTGACATAAACTATTCATTAAGCAAATACATAGAACAGAGTGCACTCTCCTTTAATCTACATGATTTACAGGGGAAGTTAGTGAGGGGTTGGCAAAAAAATCAAACTTTTTTCAGGAAATTCTTTGGTTAATTACTTTTACCTTGTACTGAGACTTGCAGTCTTTGTTCCGGTCGGTGACTCCAATCCCTCTCCTGGCTTTGAGGATTTCTCTCTGTTCATTTGCTGGAGTATTGAGTTCAATTCACTAATAACATTAGCCTTGGGGCCTGAGAGAATCGGGCTTTTCACCTCTGGCACATCCCCCCATAGCTTGGATGTCCTTTGGGGGACAACTTTAGCCATGTTGGGCTGGGCAGTGATGGGAGGCGGGGGTGGAGCGGGAGGAGGGATCACAAAGCTGTCCACAGTCTCCTCGATCAGCGCGTCCTTGTAAAGTGCATTGCTTTTGTTGATTATGGGCTTCATTTTTGGCTTAGGAGGTACTGGGGGTTTGTCCACCAGAAATGTTTGCCCATCTGCATAGACTGTACAAGTATCCACGTTCTCCCCCCCTTCCGAAGATAAGGTAGAGATGCTGGACACCGTTGAGATAGTGCTGGTTGTCTCTAAGTGATGGTCACTACTACTTCGGCTGTCTACCTCCTCAATCCCAGAGTCAGTGACGTTATCAAAGCTGTCAGGGGGCGGCAGAAAGGAGGCAGGCAAACAGTTTGAAAGACCCACTTGCTTTTTGCTTTCCAGGGAATTTGTTGGCTGGCTGGGGGCAAATGGTGCGGGTGAGGGTGTGCCGTTCTTCCTCTGCGCGATCAGGTCTGTCAGAGCCGACCCAGAAACCGCGCGGTCATCGGGGATATCGAAGCTGTTGGCAAACTCCAAGGGAGGGGGCAGTGGCTCAGTGAACATAAACTCCTCATCAATATCCACGGATGCCAAGGGTGGTGGGGGGATACGGAAGGGCAGGATGACAGGGTCGTCGACAGAACTTGCTGCCACGATGGTTTTGCAGGGAGATACTGATGGCTCGGGTGCAGCAGGTGTATTCAGCTCACTTTCTTCTACTTCCTCGCTCCCTTCTACCCTCTCTGGTGGGGAGTTTTCAGGACTTGGCTCCATCTCAGCTTCCTTTTCCTCCTCATCTTCAGGCATATCGTCCGACTTCGCTGTGTCCACGGTATGAACCATCAACAAGCCAGCTGACTTCTGCTGCGAGGTATCCACAATGTTTATCAACATGTTCTTCTTCTCCTCAGCTTTCTTTTCTTTCCCTGCATCCGTTTCGTACTTGTTCTCAGTCTCCTGTCGTCTCAACAAGCCACGGGTGTTTTGCCTCGTGACAGTGGCAGTAACAGGAAAAGTCGTTTCCATGTTGGGTCTCAGCTTTGTATCGATGTAAAGCGGTTTATTAAGGTCTGTTTTGACAGTGTCTCCTTTGCCTGGAATCTGCTGCGTTTGTTCTTTCATGGCTCTGTCCCTGGCAGAGAGCGCAAGGGCTAGTGGTGAGTTTGGATCCAACAGCTTCCCTGTGACTGGGTGGACGTAGCTCTCCGGGCTGGACGCGTTTGTGGACTTGGCTGCCACTGCACTGTTGTCAGTACCTTTCATTTTGGACGAGGCATTTAATGTCCTTGAGTCACTCTGATTGCTGGGCTCACTGCTATTGAAGAGACTTTCAGGCTCTCTGGGTGCAGGAATTGGTGATGGCGACATGAGCTGTCTGAAACCATCCTCACTACTGAACATTACTTCATCGGTGAACTTAGATTGCCTCATGCGTGGTGTTGGTGGGGTTAGCCCAACATCCTCATCTCCCAGGTCCGTGGAAAGGAAGGCTGGAGAATTCCTTCTCGCTTCCAGCCTCTTTTCCCTGTCCCTCACTGCCCCTGCAATGGCTGCTGCAAACGGACTGCTGACACCCAAGCTGTCGTCAGGCCGGAGCTGCCCCGGTTGCTCTGAAGACTGAGGATCGATTTCCATGCTGCTCCCTTGGCTGCTTTTCCCACTGCTGCTGGTGGATGGCTCTTTCACAATGATTGTTGGGATTGGAATAGAGCAGGTCTTTTCTGGACTGTCCTCGACGTTGGATTGTTTCACCAGCATCCCCTTCCGCCTCGCTGGTTTGGCTGGCACATAAACTGCTTTGCTTGCAATCTTCCCAACCTCAGAATATGGATTTTCTGGCATCTGACCCCTCTTGTTCCTGAAATTTGCCTGAGATGCGGCACTTCGACTATACAGGTCTTCTGAGTCCAGAGAGTATCGGTCCAGCTCTCGTCTGTAATAGATCCCTTTGTCCCTTATCATTGTTCCCACACTCTCAGGCCTAACCAAGGAAATTTTTGCACCTGAATTCTGGTTAAATGGAGGTTTAATAGTTCCATAGCTCCTTGTTGTGAGGGATTTGGGGGAGTTGTACAGAGAGGGAGAAGGTGGTGGTGGTGAAGGAGGTAAGGACTGTGGTGGTGGTGGGATATCTTCAGAGGTGTCAGGCATCGAGAGACTTCTGGTAAACTTCAGCATAGGAGGAGCCAGAAACTGCCGTTCTTCCTCCGTTATTCCTAAAAAAATTAGAAAGTATATTTAAAACACTGTCTGCCACTGGGATCCCTCTGCATTATTACTGTATTATCTCTGTATCCAACCCAAAATGCCAGGGCGCATTTCCCATGACACAAAGCATATGTAAAATTCTAAAAGATGTCTTTTGGTTGGTTTTCTACATAGGAATTTGTTCCTGTTGGACTTCCAGGTGCCAGAATTGAAAAGGATGCTACAGAGTTTTAATTAAACCGATCACTGATGTGTAGGCAAATGTTTGGAGTTTATGTATCATCAAGGTAGCAGTAGAGAAGCACATTTTCTAAGGAAATTATTGAAGAGGGAAGATGTTCTGTGCAGAAGAGCAGCTTCTGCCTTGCTCTAGCACTCTATAAAATGAATATAATAATGCAACTTGGAAACCTAATGAATTTTTAAGATGCATTTGGAATTTGGCAAGGGGACTGGGAAGATCCTATTGGGGACAAAAATCATGTTTCCTTACAAAGGATGACATTATATTACTACAAATACAGCTTTTAACGCAAATAAACCGGTAATACTGGGGGTAATTTGGATGCTAATTTTACATCAGCATAATGTGTTTCTAAATTGATAAAAATCGCTACTAAGATTGCTACCAAGAAAAAAGCAAAACCCAAATTTGGTCTGTTTTGGTCTGTTCTTCCTTTCTTTGTTGTACAATCTTCTATTGCCATAATTTGATATGAAAAAAAGGGTGAATTTTAGTCCATTTGATCAACAGGATTGCTTTGTAAACTACACAGCATTACAGCGCTTTTACCTCAATAACAAAGAGAAAAGGGGTAACATTTTGCCCTAATGCTTTGCAAAGGGCTTGTACTGATCTTTTTTTTCCTTGTTAGAGGCAACATTCTAAAGAAAACAGTTAAATTATAATGCCATACTTGGCTACCACCATCAAAGCAGAACGTGGAAATTACATCACCTTACACACAAACTTCTTTTCTTATGAACTTTGTATAAAAATTAAAGTCACTCACTGAGGCAAAGGTGTTGGAGGACTATGCTTTAAGAAAGAAGCAAAGTTACTACATGATTAATGCACAAGCAAACTATACATGAGAAGCATTTTACCTATAGATTTTTGTCTCCTCATTGTACCCCGAGGTATTCCCAGAAAAGGACCTTGAGGACTCCCTGGTACAGTGGGCGTCATCACAGCAATACCCTGTCTCTCATACATGGACTACAAAAAAGCAAACAGAAACCCCACAAGCATTAAAGCATGAATGTCTCTCTCACATGTAAATAACTCTTCTGTCATAGCTGCTAATCCATTATCCCTTTTACTTTGAATTCCTATGGAAAATAACAAAATCAGTGTTGTTTTGGTGAGGAGGGGAAGAGAAAAGACAAAATGACCGCAGCTCTAAGTGGATTTCCTTGAAATTATTTACGAGGCAATATATTAAAGTTTCCAGCACATTTTGAGTGCTGTAAGAAAATGGAAGCATGAGCAACTGATTTTAATTCATTCAATTCCAAAAACCCAACCCCACACCCCGTAGCTATTAATGCTCCCTCTGTGTGAGCTCCCTTCACTTCTGAAGACCAGACTATTCTTGGAGTCTTGCACAGACTCAAGGTGTCTTGTGCAACGTTACACTGGCAGTCAGCATCTCAGCTGGGAGATGAGGAATGCCACCTGAAACCCAATGCTCTCAGTTGTTCCTCCTTTTCATCACAAAACTATTTGTATTCTGCCTCTTAGAATAGCCTTAATTTCCTTCCACTCCGAGCTGCTGCAAACAGAAAGTTCTTGTTACATCAGGACTGATGCTCTTTCAGAGAGCTGGATAATGGAAAAATATATCTAAAATGCAATCAAATCAATTATTTTTTCAGGTGAAAAGTTTTGTGAGACCAAATCCTGCAACTGAACAATCCAATTCCAGAGTTCTGGAGTTTAATATTAAATATGTGCTACACTATTAATGTCAATTCTTCCCTTACAAATCATCGTGCATTATTTAACTGAGGTATTATATATGCCATTAGGAACAATAAAAACCTGCAGTAGGAGAAACTTTCACATTAGTGAGGATGGTGCAGCTACACTAACACTGGTGCTGAAACTGAAATAGCATAACCTTGACTTTCAGCATGTTTTTTGAACTTGGGCTTCGTGTTGTAATGACACCTTCAAGTTCAGAACTTGCTGGGGTCTCACCAGCTCAAATTCACATCTGCTTGAATAACACTGAGGGAGCAATACTGTTGGTGTGACAGTCTCAGAATAAATATGAGGATATAATGAAAAAGGTTTTATAGGGGTTTGTAGATTGTTCTGTCCCAAAACTATTAACAGAAATGCAGGGTAGACCATGCCTTAAAAGTTACAAGATAATAAAACTAAAATGAGTTTATAAAGCCAAAAGACCCCCTCCAACCAGTTCCAGAAATGAAAGCAGCTCTTCATAGCTCCTACTCACATTCATATCTGTAGCTGAGGGAAAACATCTACTAGAAGGCCTCTGTTTTATAGTTGCCACTCTCGAGTCCACAGTTGCATTGTCTGCAATTCTTGATGGCTTGGAAACTGGTACTATTTCATCCACCTTATCTGTAATATAAAAGTGTGCAGTAAAATAAATATCATTTGTCCAAAGAAACAGAAAAATATTGCAGGGTCAAAGGAAGAGATTTACGTTTCAAAAAAATGCAAAGAAAAAGTTTTTTTGGCATTTTAACAAGGCAACGCTTGAGCATCATAAGTCGTGCAAGCCGAGCACTTTTTATTGCTGCTACATAACATGCATGCTTTAGTTTTAAGCCTGCATGCATTTAATGTTTACTTAGTGTGACTCGAAAAACAATCCTCTTCTTCAAACCTTCAAAATGTGAAGGGAGAATATCTATATAGAAATGGAAAGAAGACCTTTAGAAATAATGAATCCGTACAGCACTGTTTCAAATAGAGATAAGCAGACTGTACTTAGTCATCAGAATTTCAGTGATATTTTGGACAATAGCAAGTACTCCAGAAGTGCTCTTTTATGCCTATTCTCCTCAAGTAGTAACATCCTAATTTATTCACACTCTTGGACTTGTAGACTGCCATTACTAACTCCATTATTTGTTTAAATGAAACCTTTTTATGTGTTGTGGGTTTTTTTTTTTTTCATTATTTTAATAACTGGACGGCTTGGGAATGTATTTAGTTGTGGTCAGAAACAGGTCAAATAGGCAAAGTCCAAGTCTGAATGAGAGTTTCAACATTTGGATTTGGGATTCTGATCCACCATATGACATGACGGTAAGCTACAGGGAGAACTTTATTCAGGATATTCCAAAGCTGAGTGCTGGTGTTAGTCCTGTTTCCCACTTTGGTCACAAACAAGTTCCATCAGCATTTATTACATTATGTTACTCCCTCAGATTGAAGACCTCAAAGTACCATATAATCAACTAATTATTGCCTGACAGATCCTTTTTTTGCCCCTTCTGCTGCTATGAAACCAAGGCACAGAGAAATTAAACAAGTAGCCTAAGCCACCAGAATAGTTTGAGTTTTGAATCTGTGCTAGAATCCAAATCATACCAACAGGTTTTCTTGCTACACCTTCCATGGCATTTGCTTCCCTGTAGCATGCTAATTTAGTGTCTTTTCCTTTGAAGTTTCACCAAAGTAAGGATTAGTTACATAGCCTGTGGTGTTTATGTGAGTGGAATACCTTAGCCTGGGTCCTGGGCTTCCACAATGTGAGTCAGAGCAATGTTACTTTCCAGCAATTAAATCCATCTCCCAAATAACTGATTATTTGCTTCAGCAAACAAGGGTAGCTACTTTATTAGGGTACTATAGACTTAAAAAAAAAAAAAAAAACCAACCAAAAAAAAACCCCAAAGAGTTTTTTTGGCAGTGTTACTATGCCAAGTATTGGATTTAGGGATTTAAGTTTTACCTCTCACAGGAGAGCAGTGCACTCAGGGCCCTGGATATTGATATGGATGGGAATAAGGCAGGAGGAAAAGAGCTTTTGATCCCTCTAAACAGTAGATCTGGATGATGCAAGGATGATATTTTAAATGGGAGAAGAAGAGAAGGAAAACTTTTAGCCTTCAGGTTAGGAAGAAGGTTGTCCTAGAAGTGGATATTTCAGTGTCACAGAGGGTCAGGGAGCAGGCAGGAAAGGAAAGGCTGAGCAGGACCAGTAAGCTGAACACCGCTGAAAACTGTCTCACAAGAGTAGTGTTGCTGTTTCTTTTCAATTGAAGTTAGCATTCAATTATTTTCATTGGTCTGCTTTATTTTTTTTGGTGGGATTTAAATCATCCAGTGGAAGGAGAAAAGGAAAAAAAAATTCTTAAAATCATCACACGTATTCAAAAATAAAACAAACTTCATATCACATTTCATAAAGACTTTGTTATACAAACTGTGAACTTCTGAAAGAAAAATATCTGCACTTCTGCTCAGCAAAAGGCATCAGAAAGGAGCGGTGTAACCATGAATATTTGACCTATACATCAAAAATATGGCCAGAGTGCAGAATCATACTCAGGGGATCTATCACCGAGAGCTTCAGCTGGGCAGAGATTTCCTGTTAAGGCTCTCCCACCCTTGTTATCATCCCAGAAGCCAAACAACTGATCTTTTGGATACAGAAAGAAGGAACTTTTGGAAACTGAAGCACTACATACTCAAAATCTGTACATCAGAAATATAAATATACCATGTAAGAACTGATCCCCTTTATTTTTAACAGACACATGTAACCATATACCCATTCAGACAACAAAAAGCTACAGGGAAAGAGTGATGAGGCCATGACAGACACTTGAAAAGCATGAAAATATTTGTTGGGGATGGAACATACATACCCTCCAACTGCACTGATTCTGCTAGACAATGCTACTAGTCAGATCCTAATGTTGGATCTGAGCAAAATATCAGTTGGCACCAATTCTTAATACCATCTACTACTTCCACGTGGAAAAAAAAACCCTTGGCTTTGTGTAAATTTACTGCAGATTTCTTGTCTGTAGACAGGTTCCCAGCCCTTCTCATTCTGTGGCTGCTCCCATTGGAGTGCTGCTTTGTGCCTTGCCATGTCGAGCTAAAGCACTTGGAAATGGGAGAGGAGAGCAGGTTAAAGCTTAAGCTGCTTTGCAAGGAACTCTTTAGTGCTTCCTTGCATGGCATTTGCAACTGCAGCACTACTACATTTCCTTTTTGCTCTGCTGCCTTCGGTCAAGAAGCTAAAGGTGGAGTGGAGGTTGTTGCTTTGAGACTACAACAAAAAAATGTGAAGCCACGGAAGCAGGCAGCTCGTGGGAACAAGACTGGTTCTAAATGGCAGCAGCTACATGGCGGGTCCTGCAGAGCAAGTCAAAATCTTAACATCTGGCCACAACTGCACCACCCTTCTGAAGTGAAAGCACTGTGGAAAATAAAAAACATTCTCACTGCATTATCAAACAGGCTAATTAGGCCAAACTGACTGGCTGAATTGTACTTAGTTTCACTCAAAGTCATCCCAAAGAAAGAAGATGTAAACTTATTGGGACAAACCCTGTGCTTTGAACTGGGCTGTTCACATCCACAGCACCAGCGTGCAAACCACTAATACACCAGAACCAGCTTGTTCAGAAGGCCACATGTACTGGAATAATTTGTCAGGCTCACTAATCAGCTTCTCTCCCAACTTCCTTGTGACCTCAGATACTCTGCAGCGCGCATTTCTTGCACCACTGAGATGGAAAAGCTTACAAGCTTATGTTGGAAGTTCTCTGAGGATAACTTTACAAGCATTCTGACAAGAGATATATATTAAAAAAAAAAAAAAAAAGCCACAAAATAGATGCAGATGCAAAAATTGGCACCTGGTGTGAAGAGTGTCACCAGTGTGGCCAAAGAAGCCTACCTCCAATGGCATTTTTACAAGTGACTCAGCTGGATGGAGGTGAAAGGGAAGAAATATTTGGTAGTGGAGAAAGCCTACGCTGAAGGTCGGCCATGCCAGATGCAATTTCATCCTTAAACCGGTCATTTAGCAAAGTACAGCCACGAGCACACACGCACACACACTTACATGGGAGCAATTTGTGGCTGACTGGCAGAATAACAAAATATGATCTGCTTTATCTTGCATAACCTCACAGAAAGACAGGGAAGAAGAGCCTATGTCTCATGGAGGCAGAGAGCACAGCTCGGTTGTAATCATAGAAGAGGATTTTTAAGCCTGTGGTTGTTCCCTAGCATTTTCCATTCATCACTGCTTTGCCATATAAACTGTTCTGAACCTTCCCGAGAAGTTACAACGGCGTGTTGAGAGTCAAACATAGGAGCCATGCTACACCTGTGAGAGCAGGTCACCACCGCTCAGGGGGCTCCTGGCAACAGCATCCTTTCAGAGAACTGTCAGGGATACCACATGGAAAAGCCAAGTCTGATGCCTCTGCATGCATATAGCAGTTTGAGTGCCACTAAATTAAATTCCCCCGAGAGAGGCAGCACCAACAGATATAAAATCATTTATTGCAAAGTGCACTTCCATCTGCCCTGTGGGTCACCAAAGGGCCCCATGCTCTGCTCAGGGTGCCAGCCCTCAGGAAATTAGATGGCCTAAAGGCACAGAAAGTAGTTGTGTTTTATCAAGATGTAGGTCGTCTCTGATGAGAAGCTCTTAATCACAGACAGAGGAGCACAGTACCCAACAGTGTGTCATGACTTTTGCATTCTCAAGAGGTCTGGCTGCCAGGCAAGTTGCCTTTTTTTTTTTTCTTTTTTTCTCTTTTTCTTAAATAATTAATATCTCTGATAATTACAGGGGACAGTCTCCTCCTAATAGATTTGTTGCAGGAGATGGCTCTTATCCCCATAGAACACATTGCTTAGTGACTCCTGTTTCAAATCCCCAGACTCTCTCAGAGGAAAAATTATAATGCTGCCCATCAAGCCACCAGATCCATCATGAAAGGAACTTTGAAAACGAGAGCCAGGTGCCTAGATAGATCTGGTGGCACATCACTATACAGCCCCCAAAGGAGAAATATGAGGTATGATCCTGGCAACATTACTTATTGTACGACATAGCCAAGACATGTGGATTAGCTCCACCGAGGGTCTTAGAAACTGAGCTGGTCAGACCCACAGAGGATAAGAATGATCATGATCCGGTACAGGCTGACCCCAACACCTCAGGCTGGCATGCCAGAAACACCAGGCAAAGACTGATCGAACACAGTTTTGGAGGCGAGTATTGCCAAGACCTCTATACTTACCGCCAAGTCCCGAGTGCTTGCTCAGAGGGGATGGGATAATGGAGAAAGAAAACTCAAAAAACAGCTGCCTCAAGAAATGACTTGTATTTGTAAGAAAAGCAATGAATGCCTGGCACAGAGTAAAAAAATGCTTGTATGAAGTTAAAGTGAAAGAACAGAGGCAAATGTTCTTCAAATACCAGCAGCACACATAGTTAACAGTGCAAATATAAACTACAAAATGTTAGACTAATCTAGTCAGCCAGAATACAATGTTAGCCAATGTAGAAAATGGTTGAAACTCTGCCACCGATGGCCTTATGGCTAAGAATTAAAAGGACAGGCACATTAAAAAAAACCTCTAAAAACCCTATGAAGTGGTTATTTTTTCTTCCCTCCCCCTTTTGCCTGGCGTGGAGGCATGGGCAGCGAGGCCCTCTCGGTTATGGCTCTCTGCAGCCGGCCACTGCGACAAGGCAGGGTGGCCTGTGGTGGGTCTCGAGAGTCGCCTGTCCCCTCGGCCCCAGGTAAGCACACAGTGGAGGATGCCACTGCGTCCTCCCCAGTCCATGTCGAGGCACAGGTCAACTCGACATGGGGGGTGGCTCTTTGGGAGATGCGTGTTTCAAGGACCTGAGTCCTCGGCTGCTTGAGAAAAGCTAAAATCTCTGACAGGTAGTTATGGATGGCTCTTGTGGAGGTAGCCACAATGCCCAGCTGCAGCTCCATACGGCCCATGGACTGGGACATGAGGCCCATGGACTGTGCATGCTCCCTCTTGATATTTTCCAGCAGCTGCACAATCCTACTGTTGGTTTCCATCAACAGCTTCTCTCCCTCTGTTAGCTGGGGCTGCCCTCTCCAACCCCGATCCCTAGGGACAGGCTCAACACCGCAGCGCTCTTCATTCATTTCATCATTTCCCTCCTCCTCAGGAGAGTCACTTTCAAACTGAGGAGTCCTACTGAGTGACTGATCCCCGGGAGACTGTATGTCCATGGTACACTCCGGAGTCCGCGCTGGCGTTTGAAATCCCTCAAAATCCTCCCCAACGTTGCTGTGCGTTTCAGACGAGGACAGTGGCCACTGCCAGCTCTCTGTGGTCCTGGCTGGCGAGTCTTCATCAGAGGCGGGCACCGAGGATTCCTGTTCTTCAGCCGGCGTGGACAGCGAGCTCCCTCGGTGATGACTGGCTTGCCCCGAGGATCCAGGAACCTCCCCATCTTGCTCCCCAGTGACATCTGGCAATCAAATAGAGGAGCAACAACCACTGTATCTGAGGCCAGGCAGATGGAGGTATCTACATGCATTGGACAACACATAGAAAGAAGCCAGTTGGGAAGCCAAGAGTGTATGTGTTTGGGCAAGCGGAAGGGTGGCCTTAAGTTTAGTGACTGCACTGGGCGTGTGGCAGTTGAAGTTATTTACCACTTTTGGTACCAATGCACACTGTCCTGTACCCAGAACACACACAGCCGTGCTGCATCCCAAGGCAGGAGCTACCAATTCCCCTCAGCGTGACTGTGACAGGAAATGTCAGTGAACCTAGCGAAAAGCTCACCTATGCACTGCAGTGGTGTCAGTCAGAAATCCCTGGGACGAGCTCAGGGCCAAGGGTCCAATTGAGCTTCCTGGGGCGCCAGATGTGCTCCACCACTGGCTGAGGGCAGCCCTTTGTTGCTCTGAGGCACTGCTGGCTATCTTCACTTTTGTCCGCCGTCTCACATCACCCCCACCCCCAGTGGGCTCTCTCCCAAGTCACTGCTGCAGCGCGACGGTGTCCGGCCACGGGGTCTATCCCGCGAGCAATGCCCTCCCCAACATTTGCTGGATTCTCCTTGCTCTTTTCCTCCAAACAGTCGGAAACACCGTTTGAGGGCATTGCTCACCGGGATCTCATCATCTCCTGGAAATGAACTGAGTTTTGCCCTCCCCTGGCTACCTCCTCCCTTGCCTGAGGGCACGTGATGGAAACCCAGGTACAAGTGCTTCCCTGTGGCAGCTCAGTGTGCAAAGAACCATCACTACAGGTGTTAAGGTGGAGGATGCTATCTATGTTCTTACTCTAAATCCTCCCCTGGATAAAATGCCCCCCTGGCCAAAGGTGAGGAATGGTTCAGCTGCTTGCACCCACAGCCATCACTGGTTCAAGCCAGAGCACCATCTGCCCAGCTCTATTCTGGATTACATGAGACTGTGGCTACAACTCTCACCCTTTCCATGCTTCAGATTAAAAAAATGAGTCTGCTGCCTTTTTTTTTTTTTTTTGGATGGGGGACTATTTGGTCATCAGAAATTAATTTAGGGCAGTCTGGCTAAAACGTTGCAGTAGGGTAGCCCAAACCCCTGCATTCGTAAGGCTCAGGCAAGGGATGGGTGAGAGAAGTGCTGTTGTCAGTAGGATTGTGTCCTGAGCAGCAGTGGCTCACTGTTGCTGGCTGTGCTGCTTACACTGCAGTGGTCTGGATGCCAGGTCAGTGTCATGCCTACTCTCTGGCATCCCAGTCTCAAAAAAAGTTATTTTTCAAGAATTAATTTCTGCTTTTTGAAATACTCTGTATGCTGCTCTTCAGACCTTGACAGAAGCTGCAAGCTTACATCTGCAAGGTGTTGCTGAGGTCATGTTAAATGATAATTTTGGTTCTATTTATGAGTCGGGGGGGGGGTTGATTGATTTTTTTTTAAATTATTTTATATAGTTTAAAATGAAAGTTCCTTCTGACAGACCCAAGGATCCTTCCTCCTGTATTACCAATCCCTGTCTACTGTAATGTGGCACTCATTATTTCTGCACCCAAGTGCCTCCAGCATATTGCTGTAATTATTATACTGTTCTAAAAGGGATTCTGTATGACTTAACAGAAAGATGAGTTTTAAGTGCTAAAATAATGGATATTATTCGTGCATTTAGCATATTCACTACTTCAAAGTATTCACATTCAAAGTATTCATATTCCCTCTGGCTGGACTGTCCAGTTGCATGTTTTATGGAAAGTGAGGATGAGATTGTATTTGTAAAAAGGCATGAGCTCTTCATGAAAATGAATTTTAGGGACAAACTGTCATGCAATCACTGGCTCTTCCAGTCCATGGAGATTTGAAAGGAACTATATATCAACCTAATAACTGCCTCTTCCTTTGCAATTCTTCTCCCACTTTGTCTAATACAGCCATAGGCATTCCTTCATTAACAAATGTCTCCTTACAGCTATAGTGTAGGACCCTGAAATTCCTTCTCTGCATTTTCCTATTGGAATACACATGAAAAAAAGCACAAAAAAACCCCAGGGGACCTATTTTAACCACACATAACAAACACACATTTCAGTTAAAGTCTATGGAATCAGTGTGAGATAAGGGATCAAATATACTCATTCTGGTAGAGCCACTGGTCATACAAAATGTCTTGGTATTCATTTTGACATGTCATCAGAAAACTCCCCATGTCTGAAAACTCCATTTACCTGACAAGTGTTCTAAGCAGAGCCCACCTAACAATTGGCAAGCAACAGAACCAAACTAAACTAAAAGCCAAAAACTGAAGCAAAACAAAATCAAAAAACTCCAAAGCCCACACTGACTTATGAATATTTCTGTAAATGGTATCACTGACTTTAGCTTGTCCAGGTTCAGGGGGATCACAAAACTTTTGGTTTTGTGCATGTTCACTCACTTGCCAGAGGCTTGTGAAGAAAAAATTCCCTGAAAAAGCATACAAAATAAATTTTTGCAAAATTCTGTATTCCGTATGAAAATTTACCAGTTGCTACCCTCCTATTCAGTATTTTCAGCCTCTCAGACCTGAAAGAACAGCATCTGGCACCAGTGACCAATAACACAAATGACAAAGGGCACAAGCAAAGAGTCTGTGAAAACCCCCGGGCAGAGAGTTAATTGTGGAAACTCCTGGCAAATACTTCTGAATAATGAATACAGTCACAGGTTTTAGGTTAGGTTGGTAAACTTGGCTAGCAATGAAAAGGAGGAATAATCATAACTGTTATTGCTTGTAACAAAGTGTTCAACATCTTTTAGTAACTCTGGGTTCCGGAAGCCTCGTGAAGCACTGACATGGGGCATGAGGAACCGAGGGTGCACTACACGTCTAGCCTGTAGTTAAACTTGGGAGAACTGCCTGAAGGTCAATGGCTGGCACCACTTTGATGAATGTGCCTGTCTCTGCCCAAGAAATCCATTCCTTGATGACCAAAAATCACCTGAAATTCAGGGTGCATCTTGGTCAGATGGTTGCGCCAGTGCTTAGGCTGGTGCTGTGGAAAAGGTGTGCCAGGGGCATTGGGAAACTTGGCTCAGCTGGAAACTGTCCTTCTGTTTGAACAGCTGCTGACAGAAGGATTGAAGCTGAATGATAGAGTGACCTCAACTAACTGCCTTTACCTCCTTTCCTTGGAAAAGGGATGACTTCCAAAACAAAAAGGGAGAGGGCACTATGATTGTCAAGTCAAAATTGTCCATGAAAACATGGATCAAACTGTATACCAACACTGTTGATCTTACTTGCTTGTAATTTGCTTTAAAAAAATATTTCTCTTTTCAAATCTTAAAACAGAGTTGGTACAAAGAAGCTCAGCTTCCTTGGGTGTGAAGCAAGGGAAGAGATCAGGTTCTGTGATCTCCCTAGTCATTCCCACCTTCCACACCATTCCTACGTGCAGCATTTTGCTCACAGGGATATATCCAGGCAAAATAGGTCCCTTATGTTTATATCTAGTGATAGCAGCCACCAAACTGGCAGTCTCCAAGGTTCATGCTCCTACCCTTACGTCCCTTGCTCTGCCAGGGCACGACTCCCATTTCGATCCTTAAGTGACCAAGTAATGGACTCAGAAGGGGTCATGGATATGGGCTACAGAGAAACTTCTGGAAGTCAGTGACCCACTGAACTTTACCTTCACTCTTGGTCACTGTGAGTACTATGCAGCTATTTCCTAAAGTCCCAAGGGACTCACAGGTTTCTGAAGACTTTGTTTTGTTTTGTTTTGTTTTGTTTTACCTCACTGATTCTGTTGTGTTTAACGAAAAAATGAGACCTGGCATTAAAGTGATCCATGTAATAGCAACTAGAGAACCTCCATCACAGTCCTGGCTATCTGTCCTTCTGCCCTGGCAGACAGGTTCTCTGTTTCTGCAGCAGAGCTTGTAGCTGCTGCCTGTCCAGGTGTTTGCCCTGGGCTGATACACAGTTTGGTCTGATGTAGTGGATCAGCAACTGCTCCTGGAGGCCACAGGAGAAGCTCCATGTGTGTCTGCAGGGGTGAGCTGTGTCTGACCGGTCCTGCCCTGAACGTGGGGACCAGAAGCCAAGTTTATTCCAGCCTTTAGGTTCATGAATATGTCCATTATTTTGGAGCACTGCTATACCACGCTGTCTCCTTTGCACCACAACATTCACTACCAGCGAGAGTCCTTTATGTTGGTTATTAGATATATTTGGAATTGCAGCAATTGTTGGGTAGAGGTACACAGAGAAATGAACACTTGATTCCTCTGCAGGGGTAGAGGACTGAGACAGAGGCCAAGAACAGAGCAGGGCTTTGGATATACACAAACTTTAGAGACATCAGAGGAATTTCTTTAACTTTTGTTCACTGAAGAACATTTGAGATTTATGCCTGTGTTGTGCCTTACCTGCCATTTGGACTGGCAGCTGATCCCTCCCCTGAGATGTGCTGCTCTTTAAGAAGCCCTCCTTTTGAAATCCCACCATTCCTGTTTCACCTCTGCTACCGGATCGTTGCCTTTTCCATTATCTTTCCTTTTCAGACTGCCCACCAGCGGAGCTGCACGGGAGGGGTGGGGCACCGTCTTCCTGCTGGCAGGTGGGTGGAGATGTGCCTTGGCCACACCAAGTGGGCCAGGAGCTCAACAACAGCAGGAACATAGTTGGGGAGCTTCCTGGGACCTGCCTCTGCTGCTCTGGACCTGGGCCTCTGTCTGTATTTGCATCATGCCTCCTGGGGTGGGTGCATTTTTCAAAGTGCTTAGGTACCAAGGTGATAGGTGCCTTGTAAATACCTAAGATAGATACAGACAGAAACTGTACCAGGTGCTTTATGCAAAACTCCATACAATGCCAATTGCACCTCTGTGCTGTAGTATCACCCACCTGGTCTAGCAACTGCAGTCAACCACAGGAAAATATTTGGCACATGCATTTTTTTCCTTTTGAAAAGTGATGGCAACACAGGACATTCATTCTTCCTTGATGTCAACAGCTTTGGGCACATGGCCCTTAATGTCAGGTACTGCACATGCACATGTTTTGTTCCATCGCCTTCCCTAAATACGAGTTTGCAGGTTTAGTTTAATATCTTTCATCATCTGATAAAATTTGGCAATAATCTGCAAAAATGGATTACATAGACAGCACTAAAACTAAAAGGGTAGTCTCTTCACATGTGCCTATTAAAAATGGATAGAGACTCATTTAAACTGCATAAAAATATGGCTGTGATGTGGCTTTTATCTTATGGATTAATTTTTTCCCCCAATTTCTTCTATTTTTAACTACAATCAGCTTGATTTTGGCATGAAGACTAGGAGTGATTACGCATATAATTAAGTTTCCAAGTCTGGGGGTGGGGGTGAAAGGCAGCATCTAGAACAAGCAGGTGCAATTATTTACACTGCATTCCTTTTAGGGTTTTGTCACTTCCCATATATATGCAAAAGAGCTTGCCCTGCTTAGTTTGTAAAAGAATAGCTGGGAAGTAACTTTCTAAATACTTGGGGGTAAATGTCTGTGGGTGGGGAAACTATATAATGGACAATTTGGGCAAAAAGTCTGGGAATGTGGACAAGGCTTTCCCAGAAGCAGATGGGCCAGCTTTCCAATACTAGTGGCATGGCAGCAGAAAGATGAGAACCTGCTGATTTCAAAAGAAAGCTTGGTCAGACTATAGAAGTTCTTTTGATAATGTTGCTTGTCACAGAAGCAACTGCATCTGAGGAGTAAAACTCCAGTGTCCCTAAGGAAAAACAGGTGACTCCTATTTGGAGATGGTTAAAAATGGATCTCTGATATATCAGTGCTGCCCACTGAAAACTAATGGCTTTCTCTGAGCTATTAAAATAGGATTAGATGTATAAAAATTCATCAAAGATCAGAAGTAGGTTAAGCATAATGAGGCCTTCAACACACCACTAAAGACTATTCAACACACCATTTAAAGACTAACCTTAGCTAAAGCACTGATTCAGAGAAAGAATATTAAAGGTTAAAGTTTAAATCCAAATTTGTTGTTTATGATCATATTTAGAGGAAAGAAACAACAAGTTCAGCCTACAGTTATGTCATATAAATGTCTAGTTAAAAGTACACAGAAATGGAATGGTCTAAGTTTTCATGTAGACAATTAGTCTACTCTTTATAAATCTGCCATCACATTTTAACCTGGAATTAACTTCTTCCAGCCCCACCCCAGATGAAAAATTTGCAGGATTGTGCTTAAGTCACAATGCCAAAAATCTCACGTTTACCACACTGTGAACAACAGGCAGAGAATATTACTTTAGCAGTCAGCATGATGAGGAAATAACAGAAGTGCTTTGCAATACAGTCAAACACATAAGGCACTTGAAACACTTTCCTTCTATGAAAATCGAATAAAAATACTTTTCTGTTCTCTGGGATACTGTAAGCTCTACAAAGTATGCTAAAATAAAATAAAAAAAAAAGAAAAAATATAGAAAATAAATCAGTAAAACATAAAAATTGTTTAGTAACTAAAATTAATCATTTAACATTATCTATAAATACCATTACATGATTTATGGAAATGATTTGTATGTATTCAAAGTAAAGAACTTTAAAACTTTCTTGACAGAAAGTCTTATTTGTGTTTCTATGGCTGAAAATTGCTTCACATTAGTACACACAAGTCACATTTACTCATTATAATCACACCATCAAAAGTAATTTTAAGGAAGGCAGAAAACTGATATTTTCAAATTCTTTCCAGAGATACAATTTTCAAGCACCAGCTCTTTAACAGTATAATCAATTAATGAAATAATTATACAGGCATTTAAAATACACCTGCAATCCTGAAGCCTTACAATTCAGCCTACCTTGAAAGAGGAATGGTCATTGTCTAACAGTGGTTTCTGTTCAAGAACAAAAACAAAGCAGAGAATATAGTCAATACCCACTCCTATCCTGCAAGCCAGGTGGAATTTAAGTGGCAATTTGATGTTCTGTTTAAGAGACAGCATTTGAAAATTTGGCCTAGTCACAAAAGAAAGACAATCAACTGAAAGAAACCAAAAAGAAAGTGGAGGACTTAAGACACTTGAGCCTTCTCTGGTCTTAACACTTACTCTCACACTTCCACACCGAGGGGAAAAACCAAACAAACTAGGAGGAATTATCTAAAACCATTTATTTTTAATTATATTAAGAATTAATTAACATGGGTATATGAACATTTGAAGGCAAAAAAAAAAAAAAAAGTAATAGCAGCAAAGGGATTTTTGAGATGAGGGAGATAAGTCCTTCATCTCCCTGGCTCCTGAAAAAAAGAGAGAACACATTAAAAGTGCTGACGGAGTTTCCCACTGCCCTAACTGTGCCATGTTGGGAAACACATGCAATTTTAACTGCTCCTCGAGCCCTCATGATTTTGAATATGTGCTTAGATATTAAATGATAATATCTGAGCACAGCAACACTCACATAAGTCAACATATTTAATTTGTCTCTTTCCAAATGTACAAACCCCGCATTTTCTATAACACTTACAATTCCTTTTCCAACTTCTTTTATACCATTGTCTTGTTTGGCTGAGGCAGAAAGGTTTTGAAAACCTTTTCAATTACTGTCCTGTAATAAAGAAAAACAAGTATCATGAAAGGGCACTACACACTCTAGACTAAGCTGATAAATTCAAAATAATACTAGTGTACATGAGAACACCCCCACAGAGATTCAGCCAACCCCCTCAGGATTCCCAGAGCTTCCAAAATGTTGGTTAAAGCTGCCCACCTCATGCATAACCCTGGATTGAAGAAGTTTTTAGTTCCAAGAGTCACCTGTAATTTTAGATGCTGTGGCACAAGTTGCTAATCAGCACATTGCCAGCCAAGTGCCAAACTTTTTTTGGTTGAAAACACAGGGTTAGCACTGTTCCCTTTTTCAAACATGCCAATTTTCAATATTTTTCTCTTCCAAAGGGTTTTACAAGTACTCATGTCGTAGCCACAGTCATAATCCTACATCTCCTTGCTATGGACTCCCCACAGGTTTCACTCCAAGTTGTAAAATCTCCTATATCAGCAAAAAGTAGGGCTGGTATACATGGACTTCACAAATCCCACCCCGAGTCACTGCTTTCTACTGGTGATAAATGACAACCCAATGACAACCTTTTCACTCCATCGCTGTCTCATTACAATTTCAAATAGTAATGTGAATCAATTACTTACACGGGCAACCTTCAAGAATTCTTCATTAAGCCTGATGCCTTTTGCTCTCATCTTCTAAAACACAGTGTCTGGTGGAGGTCAGAAAACCTTCTTCCTACAGAGAAGCGCTGCAGATGCTGGAAACTACCACAGCAGCTGAGGCTGTGAGTGCTGTAAAAGTTCCTTTGGTGGTATTCCCATTGTTTTCCTGCAGACAAATCTCCATCATCAACTCCACCACAGTGAAATAAAGAAATGGTTTTTGAACCCAGACGACTCTGGGAGTGGTTTCTTCAAACATAACAGAACACTGTAAGTTAATCCACTGTCTGGCATTCATTTATATATATTTGCTCTGCAATTTCATTGTTTCAGATGCCATTGGAACGTGCCACCTTTGAAACAATGGACAATAGGAATGGGATGAAGTGTGGATGCTTATTGCAGACAGAGCTAATAATATTTCTTTTGAATGCCATCAACTGATATTTTTCTGTTCAAACACCAGTAAAGACTTGATGCCAGCTAACAATATTTTGTGTTGATATCATGGTTATTCTGTATCTGTGAGGTGGTGATAGACTCTAAACTCTTCCAAGGAGGAAAATCCTATATTTATATTTGATACTGTAGCCCACATCAAACCCCAAAGACACATACTTTGTCAGTGTATGGTATATATCAAAATTTGATATTAATTACCATATCAAATCTAAGAACAAAAAACCCACCACCCCTAGCCACAACTGAGACTCATGTGACTGCCAATGGAATAGCTCTTAAAGGAGAAGAATTATTTATCCTGTCATTCCCATTTAGCCTGTTCTAGTCTTAATTTTATATTTTCTCTTAGAGAACTTTTATATTAGGCATTTTAAAATTAAACACTTCAGCATTCACTGAAAATCCCAGATTACTCACTAAATCAAACCTATTTCCTGGCAGGAAAAAAAGAAAAAGCTTAGGAGCAGGAAACATTTAAATAATGTATCTAGACATTTGCAGATCTTAGTTTATGGATGTGTTCCTTAAGGATCATATAATTTTAAAATTCTCCATCCAAAAGAAGTTATTGATTAAACAAGTCAAAGCAAGAGCTGAAGAAAAAAGCCCTTTAAAAGCAAGCTTTTCACCAGCTGCATAAACTTTTTATGAAAAGAGTTAAATTTATTATTTTAAAACATTAATTTTGAAACTCTAATGATACTCATTTTGGAACTGCAATGACACCTATTTTCTCCAGTGATGCTGAAAGTTATGACCCCAAATTTTCCTTTTAATGTTTCATTTCTAGAGTATTTTCAAACCTTCATTCAAATTTGCTGCATGAAGATTCTGGTTATTCTTCAGTATTAATGGAATTATAAGTGCTGCCTCCAACAAATTGCCGCTACAATTGTTAATTTATATGTTGCCACAACTTACTCATTCTTGAAATTTACAATCTCTAGAATTCTTGGAAAATTACAAGTCACAAAAGAAAGAAGAATGCCTTCTCCCCATCCCAGATATCCCACAAAATCCAGAAGGTAGTTGAAAACACGTCCCCTCCACACACACACACGTCAAAGTTGGAAGCTCTCCCTGAGTCAGGCAACTACCTCAAGCAGAAAGTCAGTGGCACAGATGAAGCACATCTAAAATTTAGGAATCCATTTAACTGCAGTAAAATGACAGTGCTGCCCATGTCATACTGCTCCAAGCCTAAAGATTTTATTACCTATCTCTTTAGACACAACTATCATTTCCTGAATATAAAAAGTACAGCCTTTGTCCTGTCCTCCCAATGTCCTCTCCTGTCCTCCCAACGAACCAGAACCCATCTCCAGAGACAACCAACAAAACCAGTCAAACAGAACCACAGAAGCCATTATTTTTATCTTAATGCCTCCCTTGTCTCTGACCCAGAAAACTGAATTTTGGGTTGACAGAAGACTCTACAATAACAATGCAAAGGGGTTTTTATATGCTGCCAAAATGTATTTTTCAGTATGGTTTATTCTCTGAATGGAGAATGGCAAATATCACTAGCTGGAATCTCTGCTAATGACCTGAAAGGAGGTCAGAAAAGAGCAGAAAAATACAGAATGGAAAATAACCCCATTTTGTCCTATTTAATGTTAAAAAGGAAAAGCTTCCCTGCTGAGAAAAGACACTGCCTACAGACTAACTTTCCTTTCCATGACGCTGAGCTTTGTCCAAGAGCAGGACACAGCCTGTTTTTCCAGCTACCACCCCGGGGCTCACACAGGTTTGAGGCTCTTCCCCAGGCCAGACTCCATGAGCAGGTGGAGATGACATGGTCCCTGCTCAGGAGAGCTCACAATCTAGGAAAGCAAAATGACGTACAGGAGCATGGAAAAATACAGCTCAACACAAACAAACTCTGCATACACGTATGTACAGTGATAAAAGCTCTTCAAATAGCACCACTACTTTCACCTGCCCCTCTGCCATCAGTGCTTGGATGGTTCCTTAACAGGGATCTAGGGAAAATGGGTCTTTGGGGGAGATTTCAAGGAGAAGATTTTATGGATCAGTCCAGGGAGGGCACTCCATGCGTACAGGACAGCATGGGAGATGTTATGTTGGGAATTAAAAATTGTGCAGAGCAGCATTTTCTCCAGGTCAAAAGCTCAGGTGTTGTGTGCAAGATCCCTGTTTCCTGAGACAGAGACAGTGTGGGTTTACAGGAGTAACGTGTGGGCACTAAAAAAGACAAGCAGAACCACTAATGTAGGACTACACTGAGGATGTTACTGGCCACTACCCCTCTGTGGCTGCCAGTGAGCAACGTAAGTGTGAGGAGATGAGATGGAAGGGTTTGGAAAAGAGTTGGATACAGAGAAGGGAAAAAAGGCAAGATGAAGGAAAGGAGACAAAAGGAAGAAATGCGGGGAGTATTTTCAAATGTGGTCTTCTGTTTGAGTTCTTAGTGTGTTTGCAATTTATTAACTAAATAACTAAAAAACATATATAATAATTAATGTACATTTGACACCATAAAATAAACTGGACCATATGCCAACATTTACATTATGTTATTATCCTTCACTATGGAAAGGTGAGAAACAGGTTAAACAAGAGACAAAATGCTTCCCCTTACCCTTCTTCTTCCGTACTGAAGCTTGGAAATAGAAAGGGAATGAACTGTGAATCAATTCTGACGGTAATTTTTTATATGCTAAATCCTGGTCTGTCATTTTGAGCATAAACATTATTCTTCCATCTAAGATGTCAGTCTCTCCCTGCTCCCCTCCACTAAACATGTATCTATCAAACCACAGTAGATAAAATCTGCTTTTGCCAAGATGTTTATCAGGGTTTGTATTATCTATAAGAAATTTCTCCTCTGCAGATATTAGGGATACACGTACAATTCAATTCAATTTTTTTTCACAATTCTTTTTAAAAAACAGTAATTGCGGCAACTTATTGTCACCAGGACTTTCAAACTATGACAATTGGGCATTTTCAAATCTTTGCAGGTTGAAGTGGAATGGAATCATTAGCACAAGTTATCTGCCATCCTTGGGATTAATTAGTTTGAAAGAGAACAACTGAGATGATCTGCTCAGTGTTTTGAAGAACAGAATAGTTAAAAACATGTCAATAAAACTGTAAGTGGAGTTCAGAGCCAGGCAAAGGAAGTAACTGTAATGACTGCAAGATGTATAATTAAAAAAAAAAAAAAAAAAAAAGAAAATATGTTGTTTAGCTCAGCTGGAGACATTACAAAACTATGTACTCTAAGGGAAAACAAGTGGGGAATTTCTATTTATCTTTTCTTTCTATTACATAACAAGGGACATTCAATAAAATTAAAGGCATCACATTTAAAACCAATAAAAAGGAAATACATTTGTACACAGCACATAAGTAGCCCGTGGGATTCTTTGTCACAAGACGTTATTGAGACCATGAGCTTCTCCAAGTCAGAAAAAGGGATTGCACATATATATTGATGAGAACATCCACAGAGTTAATTTATAGAGCTTTCCAGTTTAGTTTGCTTATAAAAGTTATGAAATAAATGCATATTCATTAGTTTAATGGATATAAAAATATGGGTGTTCTCACAGTTCTCACAGATGACCAATATATACACATATACATATAGAGGTTTATAAATTAGAGATAAATACACACATATAATCTGTGGTTCATGTCAGAAGACAGCTTTTAACTGATGACAGGGAATTTTCACTTGGGAAGCTTGTTCAGTTGTGCAATTTAAGAATTCTTGTTTCTTCTGATAAGAGCCCTTTTACAGGGCAAGTATGAAAACAGGTAGACCACAGGTGTTATTTATAACAGCAGTCATATTGTTTGCTAAGTTGGCAAGTGTTCAGAGTGGCATTTACAGCACTCTTAAGGAAGAAAACAAATTTCTGCCATTCCTACAGCTTTACTAGGGGCCATAAACTCCTGGAACACGGTGCAGGCTTATTCTTCAGAACAGCAAACTCTTGCTACTGTAATATTTGCCCTGTCTGGATAAAGACATGAATGGGAAATGTGCTTAACTATTGAAGTGTGTTCCATGGCTGCTTGTTAAGTGAGTCGTGATGTTTTCTGCCAGCTGGGGAGAACAAGCAGCAGATCAAGTGCCACAATATGTTCAGGGGGTGAGGAAGCTAAATTATGATGGTCCTCACTGCAGAGGGGATGTTACTATTAACAGGCTGTTCTCCCCCAGGAAAGAGTGCTGCCTCTCTCTGCTTTGAGAACAGTATCCCCTATGGAAGACTGAAAAGAGAAATAGAAGAGTATCCTCAGTTTGAAAGCAATTTGCAGAAGAGGATAATGAAGGGGCAAAAAAGCAAAGTTTTACAACCTCTTAGCACACAAAAGCACCCAGCCCCAAAATGTGGCTCCAGAAAGAGTGTTTTACATTTTAAACATGGAAGAAAAATGACAGAGCATTCACAAAGTGTTGAGATATTTAGCTAATCTTCTAAACTTCCTGGCCCAGAAAAATCAAATTTTCTGAGATCTGTTAGAGCTAAATAATCACTGTTTAATTTTGGTCTTCACCTGGTTGTTATACCATAGAGAAGACAGGGCCCACTTCAGCCTCCCTCTGTTGGCAAGACCTCCCACTGGACCAGTATGACCTGACTGCCTAAAGGATGGATGGGGTCCATCTGCCCCAGAAAACACTGACTTTCAGGGGAAAAAAAGTGGCCACAAGGCTTTGATTCCTTCCAGTTTGCCTTCATATGAGTCCATGCCAGAAAAAAAGCAATATTATAAAATGTAAATATTTAAATCAATGCAGAATTACATGGGAAAATGGTTTTATTGTTTGATTTATTATCATCTATTACTCTGCAATAAGGGATGTGGTTTGATTTTATACCCAATTATCACTTGCTAAACACACTGTTTTACAGTAATAGCCATATAGAAATATGCACTGGGTTTTTCCTCTGTGCATATATGATTTATTCATAACATATTTCTTAACCTAGCTGCAGAAATTCTACTTTTTTAATGATCTAACAGGTTAAAATTAGGAAGAAAAGACCTATTACCTTCCTCATTTCTAGAAAATTAATAAAAATTCTCAAAGAATAATGCTTATCTAGGATGTGGATGACCAAGCAAAGGAATCTAGAGTCACATTTCTTAAAACCAGCAAATAAAAGACTGAATGGTCAGTAATTTTTATTACCAATAGAGAGGAATTAAGTTTATATCATGCACAGAAGTCAAAGTGATATTGTAATATGCACTTTTTTCAGATCAGATTAATGAAACAAGTTGAAGTTGAAGCTGCTTTAACACTGTCAGCTTTTAACAACAGCTTCTGGCAGCTTACCTTTATCCACTAATGAGAGGCCACAGAAATTTAAAATAAAACAATATTAGATGAACTGCGAACTCAGAAAGCAAAGCTAACAAAATACGACACGGCATTATTTTCTGTGTGTAGATGTGCCAGACTTTGATGATGCACAAAATGTATCAACATTCTCCTGCGTAGCAGTAAAGGCACAAGTTTAAACAAAAATCATTCATGCGAGTCATGCACAATTTGAACTCTCCAGAGATGCAGCATTCTTAAAACCTGCTCTGTTCTACACACTGTACAGAGTGCAGCTCCCTTCAATCAATTTAACACACACACATCTACCTATCTCTCTGTCTATCTAGCTATCTATCTGTCTATCTTTACATTTCTACTAAGCCATGCTTTCCAAAAAACACTTTCTTACCAAGCTCTTCAAGCTCTGAGGTCATTGACTTAGACCGCAGGGTCAGTGCAGTGGTTGGAGCTCGCTTAGGAGGTGGTGGGGCTTTGCATTAAACAGAAAAACACACAGTGTAAGGAAACACCTTCAAACCCTACATTTACATCCACAATTTCATCTCAATTTAAAAAGAATAAGCTACATGAAATAAGGTAAGAATTAATACATACATGCGGAGGAAAAAGCCCTGAGATGCTTTTCCTGTACGGATTTCTCAACTGTTTCTGGTTTTAGCGTAGGTTGTTTGACACATCCGCAAGCTTTTATGTAACAGGATACATAGAAACACTTAAAGCTAAATAACTGGGCACTTCTATTTTCCAGCAGGAAAAAAGCTTCCTAGAGGAAGGGCCTCACAGCAGTTGTGCCCCTTCTAAGGCTAAAAACCTGGAGACCAGCCAATCTTTGACAGATTAATTTAATTTGTGAAGAAACCGTTCAATCTGAGAAATACAGGAAGATTCAAATTGATCTGAGTAGTCTAAGGGAAACAGGTGATCCTCAAAATAAGGAAGATCTTAAAATATCGAGACAGTCATCTAGCACAGAAAATAAAAACCAGCATGTGCTTTAGTATCCTGAGAACAAATATTTCTGCTGGTCAGAAAGGAACCTAACACCCAAAAAGAAAACAGAGATTTCCAGTCAACATCGCTGCCCTGGGACACCAGGAAAAATTAAGGATTCTCAATCCAAAATGCCTATACCATTTTGAAAAGAGGAGGCAAAGCAGTTTGAGGGCAAGAAAGAGTGATGGAAAGAAGTAGACAAGGTTCTGAATAATCTCTTAAATGAGATTGGGTGTCTGACATCTGACTGATGGCAACAAAATCCTTCCACACAATGCCCAAGGTACAAAGGCAATTGCCAGGGAACAAGCAAGGCTACAAACTGCCATCAAAAAGGGACAAGATTCAAAGGGGAAAGTGGTTGGCAAATGACACATTTTCACTAGAAATTACGAGATGACAAAGGACTGAGTTTATTTTTACAGAAGCAACTTCCCTTTGGGTCATAGACAACAGCACTTCTATTTCACTGAATGGTTTGGGTTGGAAGGGACCTAAAACTTCTTCCAACCCCTGCCATGGGCAGGACACCTTCCACTAGACCAGGTTGCTCCAAGCCCTGTCCATCCTGGCGTTGACACTTCCAGGGACAGGGCAACCACAGCTTGTCTGGGAAACTTCTGCCAGAGCCTCACCATCCTCACAATAAAGAATTTCTCCCTGATATTTAGTCTAAAGCTACTATCTTTCAGTTTAAAGCATTGCCACTACATTTATGGCCAACATGACACATCCCAAAAGGCAGAGATTAAAGGTTTGTTTAAAACGTGTGAATAGTAATAGCAGCAGCAATCTCATCTGCTTAATAATAATTATGAGGGCCTAATGAATTCCCAGCATAGCTGTCACCTGAGCAAACTCAGGGGCATCTGAGGTGAAGGAAATACTGTAAAATCCATTTTTGTTTCCTCTTTTTCTTCTTCCTTTTTTTTTTTTTCTTTTGTGAAGTTTTAGTGTGGTTTTTTCATGTGAGAAACACACTGAAATTCTTAAGGGAGTAGCCCAATCTTAGGATATGGGTTAACCCATAATCTCCATTAAATTTAATTTCAAAAATCCCAAACAAACCTCAGGCTGGGAAAAAACCCTATCCTGTTTGTACCAGCCAATTCTTTCCCAAAGTCTTTGTGGCACACAATGCCATATGAACCTCTCTTGGAGAAGCTGCCTTCTCATTATCAGCCAAATAGCAGAAAAAGCATCTTTGTGTGTTGTCTGTTGATGAGAGGTGAAGGGATATTCCCTGGCTAGAACAACTCCTCTAATTTAATTTCATGTAGAGGAATCGTCCCATTAAAATGTACTTTATTTTTCCACCAGAGCTTCAGTCTAAACATACTGCTTACTTTTGTTATTCTTTCTGCAAAAGTTGCAAAAGTTCTCAATGATTTCAAGAGGTACTCTCATCTCAAGTACATTTGTTATTAATTAATAAAAGATCATCTGTTCTTTGTGCTTTTGTTCTCTCACTACTGCAAGAAATCTTACTAAGGATCCTCAAACAAATACATGTATAAAAGCCCATAAAGATTAACTTTCATGGCAAGTGGGACAAAAAAATATTACCCTTTTTGTCACTTATTAATGCATAAGCAAACAATTAAATTACTCTAAGCTATACAAGAATAAGGCATTTAAAAGCAAAGTCTATAAATCAGAATTTAGAAGGCAGTATTTTCATGTCTATATTTTCTTTTCTGACAAGAAAAACTAAAAGAGTCCATCAAGAAAAGAGAAGAATGTACCTTTCTTTCTAGCTGTGTCATCTGGATCAAGATTCCTGGTTACTGTGACAACCTTAAGAACGAGGTGATTGCCCCCTTGTCGAATCATGTTCACCACCTGCCTGTGGCCAACTTTCACTACGTTCTCATTATTAACCTGCAGAGAAAGAAAAGAGTCTTTCAGATCAAAATGCAGAAAACCTTTTGTTCCAGCAGTTCCCAAAACAGAAGGTGGAGAGAGCAGGAAGGTACAGAATTTCTAGTTACTGTCTTTTAATAAAAATACATATTTAACAAACAGTGGACAGCTGATGAGGTGACAGGAAAACAGAGCTATCTTTTCAGGAAATTTGCAACTATAAATAAGTTCAACCAAATCCTCCCCTTTACATATTTTAAATACAACAAATAGCATTTTCCTTCAGCAAGTTTCTCATGTTCTGGAAGCAAAGGCAACAGGGCCATACCTGGGCAAAAGAGTCTTCATGGAAAAAGAAGAATGAACTACATAAAGCCCTGTGGTCATGCCAATTCAACTTCAAACTGCATTGCAACATTCAACTTCAAATTATATATTTTATAACATAGATATACCTATACTTTCTCAGGAATTCTTAGTGCTTCATCGTCCTTTTTACTGAACAAGTCTTTCTATAATATTAATTAACAGACACAGAAGAAAGCATAGGCACAGTAAATGTAAATAAGACTGGATAAAAGTAGTTTATTTATTCGTTCAATCTATAAGGAGTCACTGGAAGTTCTCTGAAATTTGAAGGATGGCAGCATAGAAGATTGAAGTGAGCTATTTGAAGATAAAAGATATTGAGGAATGGAAGCAGAGATGCTGCCAAAATACACGCTGGGAAGTTGATCTCTCTCCAAAATTCAACTGACTCAGTAATATTTCCTGAGATCACTCAATGCCTTCAAAATGAACAGTCATTTTCAAAGTGTTTTTAGCTTCCTCTGTTTATTCTGACAGGCTGGGCATCTCACTCTCAAAAGAATTTACAGTTTAGAGCAAAATCTCTCATTAAATATTATTGCCCTTTAGCAGATTAAGCAGCACAAGCAGTTCCACTCCAACTTGAAATCAGTTTTCCATCCATTGTATTAAAGGAAAATCTTCCCCTTTTCAGGCTTTAGCTGAGACAAAATGCATTTTAATGAAATAATGTATTGGTAAACCATATTTTTATACAGTGCTACAGTCAGAAGTCTCAAGCATGAGCTGTCTATAAGCTTGAGATGCTTTATGAGAGGCTTTTTTGGTTTCATACACAGTGACGTAGGTGTAACACATGCTGAACATCCAGACCTGTTGAGCAGGCAAATATGAAGTTCTATCATTCTGTGGAGGTGGAGGGTATAAAAGAATATTGATTTAAATAGGACTCTTGCTGTTTGGTTTTATTTTACACCTTCTTAGCATCTGGTATTTAATTCCAAGATATGATATTTATTTAGCTGGACAAATGGCATCTAAATTTAATCTGTCTAAAATACTGAGACAAACAGAGTTATCCATTTATTTCTGATTTCCTCCCAGTGTTAAACTCTCAAACAGGTAATTCTTTTCCACAGGAAAAAAAAATAAAATTAAAACATTATGTAATTAAGAATTATGGAATGGATCTCTATTTTTGCTGGAATTAAATTTTAAACGTGGAAGCCAGTAAAGATTACAATAAAATCCCTAATGCTGTCAAAAAATAGGGCTCTCCAAGTAAATCAAAAGTTAATCAAACACATGCATGCTTCACTAGTGTAAAGTGATAAATGTGTAAAATGATAAACAGCTTCTGAAGCATCCCATCTGTTCCCATTGCTGTGTGCAATGATATTTAACATTTAGAGCAGGAGCAAATATATACAACACATTTTGGAAAGCTGCCTCAGAAACAGAACCTGCAAATCACTGTTTATAGCAGCTTTGTTTAAAAGGCTTGGTTACAAAAGCTGGTACCAAAAAGATTTACGTGGCAAAAATAAAAATATTGATAGGAGAGCTGAAGGTTATTTAACTCGAGGAGTCTGTAGAAATAGTTGAGAACAAAAGAATCATGAAACCAGCAGAGCAGAAACTCATCTTCACAGCCTTTAGCACCTCAGGGGGTAAAACTGGAGCACGATTACAAAGTAATAACTTTGGAATTGTCAATAGCTTATAAAGAATTAGATTTCAGAGACATTATTTATTTCTTTTACCCTTCTTCAGTATTTTATACAAAAGCCAAATGACTGCAGAGATGGTAAGTGGTGAGTAACCAGAGTTCAGGCAGGGTTTTTTTGACAGTTTTAGTCTGACATTACTCAGCAAAGATTTTCCAGGTGTAAATAACTTGATAAGTCTGTCTCTCTACTTCTACCTTAACCTTTGGTAGGGGGGAGATGACCACTGCATCTCACCTAGGCTTTGCAAACTAATTGAAGGAGGTAATTTTTTTACAGTCTGTTTAAAACAAGTAAAAAATCAGTAAAACAAAGCAAAACCCCAAACAAAAACCGTAAGAAAAAAAATCTATTTCACCTGTGCCAATTAATTTCATAATCACATGTGTTCTTGGAATTAATAAAATGTAACCACATTCTTCAAAACACTAAAAAACTGTATTTTCTTTTAGTGGCAAAGTGTTTAGAAGGAAGTTCTATAAACAGTCCAATAGTAAAGTTGGTTTGTAGGCACAAATTTGGGTCTTTCCCTGTTTTCCTGTATCTTTCAGGATATTTTCCATCATCTCTCACTGCAAAATCTGAAGTTCTTCTTTTCCTTTGATTATTCCCCCAAACTTTCCTGCACTGAATTTTTTATCCCATGTCCTTCATAAATAGGCAGAAATAGATAAAAGAAATAGATAAGTGCTGGGGCTGGTTCTGTGCTACATCAGTGGCAACTGCTCACCCAACAAGCCAAATGCAAGGAAAACTGTCCCTTGGGACAAGCCAAGAATTTCCGTAACTCTCCTCTAGCCATTCCTGGTGCTCAGGAAAAGCCTCCAAACTCTGTATTTCTGAAAATCATACTTTATAACCATTTGGTTAAAAACTGGGCAGTGGGATGGGAGTTACTCTGAGATAACTTCAGAAATAATTTATGAAATAATATGATCTCACAGACAGAATATCTTAAAAAAACCAGCCTAATCTGGAAGCCTGAGCTGTCTCAATTTTAGTCTTAGTTTTAGTCTCAGTCTTTGTCTCAGTTTTGAAGCTTAAAGCTCCAAAGCAGGGACTGTGATCAACAACAGTGTTCCTCTTGCAGAAAGGGGTTTGAACACCAACCATGAAGAGTTCTCTCTCCATCAAATATGGAGTAAACCAGTGACAAAGACAACTGCCAGTCACAAACCTCACTGTCTGTAACATCCAGATCCACCACTCTGATGTTATTTTACTCAGAGTTTATTCACAGCAACATCTAAAGCCACCAAACCTCCCAAATCACGAGCTTTTATTCAAGAATAAACAATGGTGTGGATTCCAAGAGCAAAATATCAATCAGGTAATCAAATTTTTTTATTTGTGAAATATTCCCTGCATGGAGAGCCCTCCCTACAACAGATGATACATGAGCACATATGTGTTATCCGAAAATTTTCTTCCTGAAGATTAAATTTACACTTCCATCTCCAAAATAAATGTGTAGTTCCACATCTTAAGAAAATGAAAGTGTATTATTCTTTAGAGTACTTATTCCCCACCAAAGCTACAATGAGGTGGGTCCCCATTTTTTCACCACACCACATCATCACCAGGAAATACTTGATTACAAACATATTCTGCTGTCTAAATCCATTCATCTGCTTACACAGGCAGACTTAGGACAGGAAAGAACAAATGTTATTATTTAAAAATGTGGTTGGTTTGTTTGTTTTTTTAAAAGAATGAGTTAATGAGTGCCCTAGAGATGCTGGGGTAGATTTTGTGGGTATTGGGGCAGGCTGGATAAAAGGATTTTTTTCAGAAATGCATAGCTAGGCAATGGCTTGAAAAAGAATACAATACAATACAATACAATAAAGTAAAATAAAGCAAAATAGTAAAATAATCTGCACATTGTAGGAGCACAGATGCCTGAGCTGGAACATATTCAGCAGAGCAGCCTTCCTGTAGGAAGGTGCAAAACTAAAAAACACTACCAGAGAGAAAGACCTTTGCCGAGTTTGTTCTATTAATAATTAAAAAAAAAAAATCTTAATTTCTTCAATGCATCATCCTAATCCTTACATTACCTAAACATTCTCTCGGTGGAAAAGGTGGTCAGTCATTTTTAACACTAAGTAAGTACACAAAACTCCATCATTCCACTTGGAATGGCCACTGGTTGCAGTTGGGAATGCACATTCTGCCACAAAAAACTTCTCAAAAGCTCTTCCTTATCCATTAAACTACTTGAAAAAAGCCACAACAAAACCCCAAACCCATTACACACACACTTACAAAGCCCTGCCCACACAGTTTCTAAAATTCACCATTTTTGGTAAATATTTAACACACACAAACCCAATTCCAATTTGTACCAGCAAAATAAATTGCCCACTTGTAACTTTGTGGGCTCAAATTGTACTTTGCATCTCAAGTAACTACACAGGACACTGCCTGAGACTTCATGAACTGGGAAGAGTTTCCAGGATTTGTCCTCAACAAGTACATTTAGTGTGAAAAATCCTATTATTTGCTTGATGTTCAAACCTCTGAGTTCATTCTAAATGCTGAATGGAACAGGTCCATTGACAGCACTAAGATAAACAGTCCACCTAGAAAGGCTTCTGTGAAAACCTATTTTAACAAATTCTGTTAGCAGCATCCTTTCCCCTGAGTATTACAGGAAAGGACTGAAGCCAAACATTTGCTGATAGAGTTTAGAGGCAAGTTAAAAAGGTCCAAAGCCAAAAGATGCTTTGGTTTAATGATGTTTTATGTGCTTACAAAATGCATTTAACCACAACTGATATCAAGGTTCCTTGTCTCAACAAGCACACAAGTTTAACCTGTGTCTTAGATTCAAATAGAGAGTAATAATATAATATTTAAATGAGTCCATAATGGGAATTAATTTATGAATTTATCTCTGCAAAGCCAATTACTCCCATCATACCCTAGAAGCTTAAGCTGACAAAAGCAGATGGCTTCAGTCCACCAGGCTCCAACTAT